GCTCAAAAAAAAGAAAAAAAAAGAAAAAGAAAGGGCCCTCTCTCCCCAGTCATGGCCCGTTTAGCGTTTTGCTAAATGATCATGGCAACAGATCGCGCCACGTCAAATGCGACGAGACCAGGCCTTTCTGCATACGCTGCCGCAAAGGCAACCGAACATGCAGCGGCTATTACCTGGATTCGGTAGCCCCCGCCGCGTCGTCTTTGCAGCTGAGCTCTGCGCCCGTGGATTCGTGCCTCGAGGGGTTGCGGCTCAATCGCTACTTTCTGCATCATTTAATCCCATCTGCCGTAGCTGAATTCAACTGCGACTACTGGCGCTATTATATCCCTCGATTCACGCTTACCGTGCCGGCCATCTGGCACGCAACGAATGCGCTCTCGGCGTTGATGTGGGCGAAAATCGAGGCCCATGGAGACGCAGCAGCCGTCGACGGCTCAAAATTGGGCAAGCTGGCCGTCACTCAGCACTTGGCAGCCGTACAGCAAGTTTTACAATTAGTAAAAGCACAAAGGACATTGTCCAGGCAGGACAAGACCATCATTCTAGTGGTCAATTTTTTTCTCTGTGCCTATTCTGGGCATCCAGGCAACCTTGAAAACTTCATGGCCCTGCACAAGAAAACTGTTCGATTAATTCGCGATTGGAGGTTCTGGGAGGGCGTTGACACCTCGGACGAAGCAATGCATTTGCTATTTAATTCCATCAGCTACGTCAGGATCCGGGAGGAATCTCTGCTTGTGACTGCTGATACGCCCAGCGACGACTGGCAGGAAGCCCTGGCATACCTACAGGAGCGGCCACTGAAGTCTATCCTCAAGGCCTCCATAGAGCTCGAAATGGTTTGGATCAGCTTGCATGCCATTTTGGAAGAGCTGCTTGCTCAGTCTAGCACAACCTCCGTTGATGTAGCGGCAGCACATATAAAACGCGCCTCGCTGCAATCTAGATTTTTGCTATGGGAGGAACGATATCTGTCTTTGATATACTCGACGAAGAATATTCACCCTCTGGGGGCTGCGGCACTCAGCGTCCGGCGCATTCTCACACGTATCTGCTTTGAGATGCGGTTGGAGCCATTCGAGCATGTGGGGGACGAGACACGTTGGGATCCATTCGACAGAGAGTTCAACTCGGCTTGGTGCGTCATTGAGGAGGCACTGACTGCAGGGACAAGCTATAATGCAGACGCGCCGGCAAGGTTCGGACCTTCCCTGCGGATCTCGCTCCAATTCATCGTCCGATTTTGTCGCAAGCAGGACATCCGACATGCCGCAGCTGCGTTGCTCCGATCCGAAATTCCAAAATCTCTATCTAGCGAGACTCCGACTGGGCCTCTCCTCGTCGAGAGTATCATGGCGCTCGAAGAAGGCCATTGGGACTCGTGCTGTCAAGTTCCAAAATGCAGGCGGGGAGAGTTCATCTGCAACTGGCATCGTGTTGCCAAGGTGAATGCGATATCGATGGACAAGTTGAGATACCACGAGTTCCAGTGTCTCACTGTGGGGGACATTGTAAATGGCGAACCCGGGACCAACTTTCGTCTGATCTCTGTGCTCTGGACTTGACCCTCCAACAGCACTCTGTTCCCAAGGATGGCAAACTCGGCGATGGCCTTGATGGCAAACTCGGCGATGGCCTTGATGGCGACGAGGCCAGAGACATCGGTGCGCCATCAAGTGAAACACCAAAAGTTAATGCAGCCGATCAATACGGTGCGCATACGAGCTCGCGAGACGTCAGCATGCAACAAGTGAGTCGTGGATTCATGGCAAGTCGTCACACTAGGCTACGTCATCGACGAGTAGTCCGTCTGCGTCTGAGACGCCTTCCACCGCGTCAGCAGGTGGTATTTTCTGCTGGACCCTGTTGTTGACTACGCATAGACCATGTTTGTTGTTGCTTGTAGGGAATTTTCCTCGGGTATATATAAGGGGGCTTCCGAGCAGCAAGTTGTCCGCCATTTGTGCATCCTTTCGGCAAATCTCCCACTGCAAATCATTTCGAACCTCCGTTTTCCACCGATTCTTTGTACATGTATTTCGAAATCGTTCCTTGAAAGAGGAAGGTCAGGTTTCCACAGGACAGTCAGCAACTGGCTGGCCTAATGGAACCGCACAGTCGCGTCGTATACCACGACGCTGTCTCCTGGAGAAAGTGGCTGGCCGTCTTGGCCTGGAGAGTTACCCTCACTGGTATCCTTTCCTGACCACTTTACTATGGACAATGGATTGAATACCATGATCAAGACACCTCTCCCGATGACGAGTCTCTCGGTCGTAATCACGAATGTGTGGTTCCAGACATATTCGTCGATGCCGTTCAACGCCTTGGAGCCGGGAGCGTGATCCATTGTGCTGTCGATATCGGTCACGGTGATACTTTTGGGACGCATTAACATGACATTTAGGAACGGTCTTGGGCAGCAGCGGAAGTGTGCTTGCAGGAACGCTTGGATCCTGGAGGAGAGTTAGAAGGGATTTTGACCTACTGGTAGAATATACTTTTCTTTTTGATTTGACAAGGGTTCCTCTGAAGTGCGATAATGCGATATAGTCCTCAAAATAGAAGACCCCAAAACAAGCAGTGTGTCTACCTTTAGCCGCTCCTCAGCGCCATTTTATAAGTGGCAAGCAAGCCAGCTGATGTTGCACTCTTCTTTTAGGTAGCAATGTGCTTTCAAACGTTTTTCTTCGTCGTGCAACTTGATCCGCCTCAAAGTACACGACATCTCGAACGCCACGGAAGGGGCTGGTACTGTACCGCTCTTGGCTCCCACAAGTCGCAAGACTGCACTAGAACGGTAAGCCTGTGAGCTGGATTGGATGCATCAATGGCTGTGGTTTGATCGGTAGGCAGTGAAGGCATTGTCGTCTTGTAGTACTTGCCCTGTTTCACTGCTGGCGCGTCCCACAGCGTCTGATGGTCACGATATGGGCACATTTGAGTTTAACATCGCGAGTTCCGAGACACCGAGTTCTAGTGTTGAGCTGAAAATGAGTTGGTGCGCCAGTGTCACGAGTGGACCTTGCTGCTTAGAAATTCATTGTCGTAAAAGAGATCTTCACCAATTAGTCAATGTAGTGAGTCGAAGGGCGTGCGGCTGGAAAGCGAAATTAGTACGAGCCAGTCCACTTCTTTTGGCGTTGAACTGAACTATATAGTGGCATCAAATTTCGTTCTGTGCTGCTTGATCAGATCTTTAGGAGTGTAGCATTTTCATCGAATTCCCACTTACAATCATTACTCAAAAAGAAATTACCAACATGTCGTACTCACTCTACATTGGCAACAAGCGTTACTCCAGTTGGTCCATGCGCCCATGGGTGCTCTTGAAGGCTGCGGGAATACCGTTCGAGGAGAGGCTGCAAATCTTTAAGCCCACCCAGCGCCAGCCAGAGTTTGTCGCATTCTCGCCAACAGCCAAGGTGCCCTGCCTGCACGACGGCACGTCCACGACGGTTGTCTGGGACTCGCTGGCCATTTGCGAGTACGTCGCCGAGAGCCACCCCGCCGTGTGGCCAAGCGACCGCGCTGCCCGAGCCTTTGCTCGCAGCGCCGCCGCCGAGATGCACTCGGGCTTCCCCGCGATCCGTGACCAGTGCTCCATGAACGTCGGCCTGCGCATCGAGTTTGGCCCAGTGGGCGAGGACCTGCAAAAGGAGCTGGACCGCATGGCGGCGCTGTTCAGCGAGGGCCTGGACAAGTTTGGCGGGCCGTGGATCGCTGGGCCTACGTTTTCAGTGGCCGATGCCTTTTACGCACCAATTGCGTCGCGCATCAAGACCTTTGGCCTGTCGATTCCTGGCAAGGCTGGACAGTACATTGATCGTTTGTTTGAGCATCCTGCTGTGCAACAGTGGATCAACGAGGGCATTGCAGAGCGCTCCAGGGAGCCTTTTCATGAGGCAGACTGTATTCGTGGGCGCAAGATTCTGCAAGACCTTGAGCAGTCAAAGTAGTGAGGGCGCTAATACTTTGAAACTTTTGGGCATATTAAAAGCCAAAATTCAAGAGAAATAATTGAACCAAGAGATAATAGTGCTTGCTCCCTCGGCATGTGTAGCTAAAATTGCGATTCTTCCCATAGCAATTCAAGGGTGTCCATGGTCACGGGGCGGTCCTGCCCCCGCGCCACTGACAGGTCCTTCCTTGCACAACTTCATATGTCGCCTGTTTGCACTTCCTCAACAACCGAAATATTCAAACACCGTCATCAAAATTCTTGGTGCCGCAATCATGTCTGGCGAAGGCACCGGGCGAGGCCTCCGAGACATAACGTTTCATCTCATTTCGCTCCTGGTCATCGCGACATTCGGCCCGCTGCAGTTTGGCTTCCATTTGGTGAGCTTGTCCTACCGACCAGTCCACCCGGGTCCACGAGACGGACGGCTGCTAACACGTGGCATCAGGCCGAGCTCAACGCGCCCCAGGATGTCATTACCTGCAAGAAAAAATCAATTTCCTCTCTCGTGAGGCTGGCAGCACGTCTTGTCGCCACTGGTCGCAACGATGACACCACCAGCTGGGTCCCAGAGTGCATCCCCATGAACGAGGCTGCCTTTGCCTTTGTGTCGTCGGTCTTCACCGTCGGTGGGCTCATCGGCGCCCTCAGCTCCGGTGATTTCGCTTCCAGGCGCGGCCGCCTGCCTGCCATGCGTCTGACCGCTCTGCTGTTTGCTCTAGGCTCGATTGTCGAGACCCTGTCTGGAAGCGTGGCCTTTTTCTCACTGGGTCGCTTCCTGGCCGGCATCGGCGCCGGCGGTGCGACCGTCATCGTTCCTCTGTACATTAGTGAGATTGCACCTCCTGACCAGAGGGGCCTCTTTGGCGTCATGACACAAGTCTCGATCAATATTGGTATCCTGACAGCGCAGGTATTGGGGTACTTTTTAAGCCACGGTGGTGCATGGAGGGTCATTCTTGGGGCTGCCGTTTGCATAGCTGTGGCCCAAGCAGTTGGCCTGCTGGCTGTTCCCGAGAGCCCAGCATGGGTTGCCGCTCACGGTGATGTCTCGCGCGCGAAGCGAATCTTGCAAAAGATTCGCGGCCACAATGTCGACATTGAGCACGAGACTGACGCGTGGGGAGCTGATGGTCCCGCTGGAGAAGCGCAAGGCTTGCTCTCGCAGTCGGAAGAAGGTATAGTTCCTGCCGCTGGGGAGACTAATCCGCCGAAACATCTGGGGTTCCTCCAAGTAGTCAAAGACCCCTTGTACCGGCCAGCCATTATCGCTGTGGTCGGAGTCAATTGTGTGCAACAAGTTTGTGGCATTAACTCGATCATTATGTACTCTGTTTCGCTTCTACAGGATCTTTTACCCATCTCGTCGGTTCTTCTCACCATTCTGGTGTCTGTCGTGAACCTGGCGATGACCATCAGCTGCTCGCCATTGCCAGACCGCATTGGACGCAAGACTTGTCTCCTGATCTCTGTGGTTGGCCAAGGATGCAGCTCCTTTGCTCTCGCCCTGTCGATTGTCACTGGCTTCCAGATCTTGTCCGCCTTTGCCGTCGTCTTCTTCGTCGCCTTCTTCGCCGTTGGACTGGGTCCTGTGCCCTTTATCCTCGCTTCCGAGTTGGTTGGCCAAGAGGCAGTCGGCGCCGCCCAGAGCTGGGCTCTCGCTGGAGCCTATGTTTCGACATTTATTGTTGCCCAGTTTTTCCCCATCCTCAATACTGCTCTCAACAAGGCCTTTGGCGGCCATGGAGGCTGGGTTTACTTTCTTTTTGCTGCGGTAGCTGCCGCATCTGCCCTCTTCATCGCTTGGAGAGTCCCCGAGACAAAGGGTAAGAAGGATGTTGATGAAGTCTGGGGCCGGACTCGTCGCCTGGACTAGACCTGGACTAGACCTACTATGCAATTATGTTTATACTATAGCGCTATCATAAACTGACCACTTTTTGCTCACGCAAACTCGCGTCTACTGAGCATGATCTGGTAGAGCTGCAAGAGACCAGCTCGAACACCGTCAACAATATAGACGGACTGGCCTCGCTCCTGTCCGTATACCTCGATAGCAGTATCTCGAATGATGCTCTCTAACCCAGCCATTCCGCCACATCCCATGACAACACAACCAACTTCAGAAGATTTCAGTAGACGAGCAGTGGCGTCCTTTAATTTGGCCTGAACTTGTGCAGGCGACACAGTGTGGAAGTCGCCTGCTGTCAGTCCGCTGGAGAAGGTACCCGCAAACCGATCATTTGTCTGTGCGGCAGCCTGCCCCAAGAATGCTTTTACCCCGTCACCGAGATGTTTCTCCCAAAAGGCCCCTGTAGTGACAATGCCCCACGACTCGCTCCCGCCTGGTGGTGCAATGATGGAGAGCGACGTAAGTAGGCTAGCTTCAAAAATACCGGTCACGGCGGCTCTAGTCATCGAAGAGAGTTTCGACACGAGGGTGTGGACGCTAAAGCATGCGACAAGAATGGCATCGTAGCTGTTTGGGTTGAGATTACCGGACAGAATGTCTGACATGACAGCTTCGGTGCTGGCTTGTATCCCCTCGTCATCATTGATGCTGTCAGGTGCAAAGTTGGGAGCGGTGTATGTGAAAATGTCCAAGTTCTAGAAATCTCAAAATCTCCGATTAATATATATGAATTTTTTCATGACTGATAGGGGGCATTTGTAAATACCTCGCAAAGTGCCATTCTGGAGACGGCCGTCTTCATCCCCTCCGTCATCGCTCCGGAGCTGTTGGGGTTGAGAATGAGGACCTTGAACTTCAGAGGGCTCCCCATTTCGAATTCTTGCAATGGAACAAAGTGATAAAAAAAAAAAAAGAAAGAAAGAAAAAGCTGCAACTGAGTCTAGGATTTCTTAGCAGAACAGTTGATAAATCAGATCTGGCTAACACTCTTATGCAAAGGTCAAATCACAATATCACTAACAGCACCGGAGCAGCCCGGCGCGGGCCGGCGCTGTAGTTTTGGCCCGCGGGGTTGCACGTGACGCATTTGGCATTCAGCCACCTCTGACGTTGGTTCGACCCCACCATGAGGTGCCAACTCGAAGCTGTCAAGGCTGCCGCATCTCAACACCACGTCACCTCGTGCAGCACCTTGCTCCTACCCTACCATTACATTTGAGCCGTCGCAAAGATGGCCAATCCCCCGCCCATCGGTATGTCTGCGTGTCACACTGGCGATGCCCGCCCCAGCAGTCTGAATGGCTTCCTACCCCAGCCTCATGGTCGCTGACGTACCCCCTCCTTTTCTAGTCCTCGACGGCGGTACCGGCTTCCTCAAGGTCGGCTACGCCGCGCAAAACTTTCCCGAGCACCAGTTTCCCTCCATCGTCGGCCGGCCGATTCTGCGTTCAGAGGAAAAGACGGACAATGACATTGTGATCAAGGACATCATGTGCGGTGACGAGGCCGCCGCGGCCCGTACCATGCTGCAAATAAGCTACCCCATGGAGAATGGCATCGTCAAGAAGTGGGATGACATGCAGCACCTGTGGGATTATACTTTCTACGAAAAGCTTCAGGTCGACCCCAGAGGCCAGAAGATCCTTCTCACAGAGCCTCCGATGAACCCGCTCAAGAACCGCGAGCAAATGTGCGAGGTCATGTTTGACAGATATGGATTCGGCGGCGTTTACGTCGCTATTCAGGCAGTTCTGGCCCTCTACGCTCAGGGTAGGTCTTTTACTAAGCGCAAAACATAAGCGCACTCACTGACGATTATCTCTTAGGTCTGAGTTCTGGTGTCGTTGTCGACTCCGGCGATGGTGTCACCCACATTGTCCCCGTCTACGAATCCGTTGTCCTTAACCACCTCACAAAACGACTCGATGTTGCTGGACGAGACGTCACCCGCAACCTCATCAAGCTACTGCTCCGTCGTGGCTACGCCCTGAACCGAACCGCCGATTTCGAGACTGTGCGCCAGATCAAGGAGAAGCTTTGCTATGTATCATACGACCTCGAGCTAGACAAGGCTCTCAGTGAAGATACGACGGTTTTGGTGGAAAATTATACACTCCCTGACGGCCGCGTCATCCGCGTAGGAAGTGAGCGATTCGAGGCCCCCGAATGCTTATTCCAGCCTCACTTGGTTGACAACGAGTCGCCTGGCCTGGGTGAATTCCTGTTCAATACCATCCAGGCTGCCGATGTGGATATCCGCGCATCTCTTTTCAAGGCCATCGTTTTATCCGGAGGTAGCAGCATGTACCCAGGACTGCCATCACGTCTGGAGAAGGAACTGAAGCAGCTGTGGCTCACGCGCGCACTGCAGGGCAACCCGGAGCGCCTGAGCAAGTTCAAGGTGCGCATAGAAGACCCTCCCAGGAGAAGACACATGGTCTTCCTGGGTGGTGCAGTTCTGGCCAACATCATGGCCGATAAGGAGAGCATGTGGGTAACAAAGGCGGAGTGGGATGAACAAGGCCCTCGCGTGTTGGAGAAGCTTGGCCCACGATAGGCGGCAAGGCGTGTAGATGGAGGATGTCGGCCAACGGCCGCGCGAGAAAGTTTAACTGTAGCGGTACACTAACGGAAGCCGCAAAATATATGATTTTCAATTAGGCGAGAAAAAAAAATTCAGCATGAATTTAGACGCTCTTTCAAAACTCGACTTCAAGGTTCAGGTGACGGCGGTGGTAGGGTCATTGACTTGGTGAGCTTAGTCATCGTTTACTGGGATGCCTCGGAGCCAACGACGTAGGACAAGGATGAAGCGTTCCGTTGACAAGCATTGAGTTACATGACGACTGATTCACGAATAACATCTCGCATGCAGGCAGCTGCGCAGGATTACGTTGCACTCACATACTACAACCCGCGCCTTGCCCAGTCAATCGCCTCAGGTTCGCCGTTCACTGCACGTCGGCCGCCCGCGCGCGAGCCGTGAGTGCCACCACGCCATCAACGTCTAATGCGCCGTCGTCCGTCTATCGCGAGGCCGAGACTCCACAGCAATCTCTTCACAGGCCCGGAGTCGCGGCTCCCCTATTCTACTGCAGTGGTTTCTGCAACGAAATTCAGCAAAGACAACTCTTGATCACGGGCGCCGGGGTTCTTGCTAGCGACGCCGCCCGTGTCATTGTGGAGGTGCGTCGGTCATTTGGGGCCGAAATCAACCCACTACGTTCACTTCCCCTTCTCCTAGCTCAACCGGCAGGCGCTTTGCGCTCTCTTTCTCGTTCTACCTCTCTGCTTAGACCGGAGATCTTCGAGACCTTGGCCGAACGCGGCTTCTTCGGGAGAGGGCGCAGTCTCTTGTGTCCAACCCACCTTCCTCGGGGGGTGATTCTCCCAACGAGCCATGAGCCTAACAAATCCGCCCTCGGGGCCCGGTTCGGGCAGCGCTGGCGTTGCTAATAGTAGCGCACGAACGCATCAGTCACTTAAGCGTGGCGTGCAGGCAGCTTTTGATGGTACGTATTTCAACTCTATTTCTTTTTGCGTCTGGTGTTTTTTTTCGTTAGCCTATCTTTGCCCCGCGGCAGCCCGCTCGGAAGCTGCATCCTGGCCACTGTGTCCGGAATTTAGATACACCTCTGATTCCGCAATCCCTGTTTATCCTATTTGTCGGGAAAAGAAAAAAAAAAGCTGAGTCAGGAAACTGCTTCTCTCGATTACATCGACAAGTGTCAATGCTGCTCGCAAAGTAGGATAATAGTTTGTCCCCGTTAGCGGAGCTAACAGCTGCCTCGTGGCTTTTGTTCTCATGCCCCTCTCCTCAGGCACTCACAATACCCAGCTGAAGTCTACTGCATTCATTCAACATCTCGTTTATCACATTACCCTCTTCATTCGAATGTGCTGCTGAGTGTCGGTGTCCGGAGCTCCTGCCATCTCGTCACGCCGCCACGTCAGAGGCAAACCAAATATCCGACTGTCCATCAACACCAATACACCGATCTGGCACACAACCACATCAGGGCCAGGAAGCTCGTCAGAAACTTGTCATGCCGTTGGGCTCACGGCCCACTGCCGGGCACGGATCTCGCCAGCAGCAACCCCAGCCCCAGTATCCTCAGCTGCAGCAGCGTAGCGGTACCCAGTGGAATTCTTCCGCTGCTGCTCCGCACATGTCGTTCGCCCCATCCTCACGTTCCGGGGGATCATCTTTTCTAGCACCCACATCCACACATCGAAACCAGAACTATGCTCACAGACGGATTCCAGAAGGTGTCGGACGTTCGGGGGGATACCAACCCAAGGCCCGTGTCACGGAGCGATACCGCATCGTTGGATTCATCAGCAGTGGAACCTACGGACGTGTGTACAAGGCCGTAAATCGCAATAACATCGTCACGAGCACTAATGGCGCAACGGTGGCAACGGGACACGAGGTCGCCATCAAAAAGTTCAAGCCAGACAAGGAAGGTGAACAAATCAGTTATACGGGCATCTCCCAGAGCGCCATTCGAGAAATGAGCCTCTGCAGCGAGCTGAACCATGCCAACGTCATCCGCCTGATTGAAATCATTCTTGAAGATAAATGCATATTCATGGTATTCGACTACGCCGAGCACGACTTGCTTCAAATTATTCATCACCATACACAACAACCACGCCACCCGATACCACCCGCCACAGTTAAGAGCATCATGTTTCAGCTGCTCAACGGATGTCATTATCTACACACCAACTGGGTACTACATCGCGACTTGAAGCCTGCCAATATTATGGTGACCTCTTCCGGCGGCGTCAAGATTGGAGACTTGGGCCTAGCCCGCCGATTCGATAAGCCGCTACATTCCCTCTTTAGCGGAGACAAGGTCGTCGTGACTATCTGGTATCGCGCACCGGAGCTGATTTTGGGCTCATACCACTACACGCCCGCCATCGACATGTGGGCTATTGGCTGCATTTTTGCCGAGCTGCTGTCTCTCCGGCCCATATTCAAGGGGGAAGAAGCCAAGATGGACAGCAAGAAGACGGTGCCGTTTCAACGCAACCAGATGATGAAGATTATGGAAATCATGGGCGCGCCAACCAAAGACAAGTGGCCGCTCCTGTCCACGATGCCCGAGTTCGGCCAGCTTAACGCGCTGCAGGCCAGCATGGCTGCCCACCACGGGCGCCACTCGCACGGCGCGCCGCTGGCATCCAACCTCGAAAAGTGGTACCACAACACCATATCCAACGCGCCCAGCAGCACAAACACGTCATCGGGCGCGTCGACGTCGCTCAGCTCCCTCGGCCAGGAGGGATATCGGCTGCTCTCGGGTCTCCTCGAGTACGATCCCGTCCGCCGCCTCACCGCCGCGCAGGCCCTCCAGCTGCCCTTCTTTAGTACCGGCGATAAGGTCACGGCCAACGCGTTTGAGGGCCTCAAAGTCGACTACCCGCACCGTCGCGTGAGTCAAGACGACAACGACATACGCACGAGCAGCCTGCCGGGCACCAAGCGCAGCGGGCTCGCTGACGACTCGCTGCTGCGCCCGTCGAAAAGAGTCCGGGAGTAGTATAATCATAAGGCGAATTGTATTGAGGTATGTGACGATAGGATTGTTGGACAAGGGATGATTTGATCAGGCGTTTTGTGCAGGTCATGGAAAGAGGCGTTTGGGCTTCATTTTAAAGCTTTTGGCATGATTACATTGGGGAGCGTTGCCGTACTTGCATAATGGGATATTGGGGGCGAGTAGGAAGTCTCAAAGCTTAGTTTAGAAGAACCTCAAGCATGTACAAGTATATGATACAGATGGGCATCCGTCGACTAGTATAGCACTTGTAAGGAGAATGTCTAGAAGCCATGATCGAATCCACCCTGACCTGTTCTCCCAAGGTCGTGATGTGAGTCAGCCCCTCCTGTAGTATTGTCACAATGATGAACCTGATGAATTGATATAGAACAAGTGTACAAGATATATGAGCCCGATATTAAAGCCTGGCACGACTGTCGGCCCGCCGCAGATACTGTCGTAGCCTTCCCACGTCCCCCTTCGACTCTCTGAATTAGTTTTTGTATTACACTGGTATTTTGTCTTGTGCGGGTTGGTGATGAGAAAACATTGATGTGCGGTTGGTGTACATGGTATAATAGTAGTTTGGATTTCGCATCCCCCCAATCGCTCTTCCTTTCCAATCTCTGTGTCGCGCGAATATTTCTTTTCCCCTGCATAGCCACCTGAGCATGCGGGGCTGCTTGTTGCGAAGCAAACAGTGCTTCTTATATTCTCTTTACATCTCCCTTTGGCTGCGAGATAGCCTCGTGACGTTGCTCTGCTGGCGTGGCCGTTTTTGGGGGGCCAGAATTCGGCTCCTATGTCATCCGCGGCGTTGCGTGCCTGTCGGTGTATAGCTCGTGAGATTTGCGAGAATATTGCAACACAAAAGGGAGAAAGGGAGAAAGGGAGAAAGGTCGTAGTGTTTCAAGTCGTTCGACGCCTATTTCTTGACTGGGGCAGGAGGGGCCTTGACGTTGTTGGAGAGCCAGGCAAGGCCCTCGAGCAGACCCTCACCAGTGGTGGCGCAGCTTGGAACAACGTACCAGACCTTGTCCTTGAGCTTAGAGAGCTGGAGAGCCTCGGTAACTTCCTGTGGCTTCATAGCTGTAGTGAGACTGGTTAGCATTGGATGACAGCCAAGGCCAGGTCTTGCATCCGTGCGAGTTACTTGCCTTCTTTCAGATCCTGCTTGTTGGCAAAGACGAGGAGCAGGCTGTCTTTCATCTCGCGGTCGTTGATAATACGGTGAAGCTCCTGGCGGGCCTCCTCTATACGGGCACGATCGGACGAGTCGATGACGAAGATGAGACCTTGGGTGCCTGCATTGACAAGAGAGTTAGTGAGACGTCGGAGCGGGCGGCGGACGCGAAACGGCGCCAATTTTCATGGCAGAAGCAGCCGCAAATCCGAACCGCAAAAGAAGGGCCGTTAAGGCAATAGGCGGCACGTACCGCTAAAATAATGTCGCCAAAGGGGACGAATCTTGTCCTGGCCGCCAACGTCCCAGACATTGAACTTGACATTTTTGTAGGTGACGGTCTCGACGTTGAAGCCAACAGTGGGAATGGTGGTGACATCCTGACCCAGCTTGAGCTTGTAGAGAATGGTGGTCTTGCCGGCGGCGTCGAGTCCGAGCATGAGTAGGCGCATTTCTTTGGATCCAAAGATCTTGCCCATAACCTTGGAGATTTGGCCACCCATGACTGCGGATTGGTGCGCAAAGGCGAAGCGCGGCTTTGCAACGGTCGACGGGGGAAATAGGCGGCGTTTTATGGAAATCGGTATCCGTTCGGTTCGTCGCGATACGTGTCTCTGCTTGGTCGTGCGCAAATTGCTGGCGTTAGTAACAACGCGATGGAAGTAAAAATCGCGATGCGTCTGTGCAGAGCCGCCAGGGGTAGGTAGCTATGGAGTGGAGAGAAACAATGGCCGTGACACAACGAGACTTTCTGTTCGATGCGACAGTCTTCAATGGGGACGAAAGAACGAGAGCGATGAAGCGATCAAATGCAAGCCCAAGGACAGAAGCAGGCAATAAGCAGCGAGGGGTAATTGAGTAAATGAAACGAGACAGTCCGGTGGAAATGGGGGCTGGCTAGCGAGATGGGCGTGTGTGTGTGTGACTGGCGTCGTGGCGCAATGTAGAGAGATATCAGGGGCAGCGATGACAGCGGCAGCAGCAGGCGATGGATGTACGCACCGAAAAAAATGGCGAGTGTGTGGACTACCAAGTAGACTGGCGAGCACGGAAAACTATGCAAGAATAAAAATTGAAACGGCCGGGAGATGGGCAAAGGAAATGACGAAATTAGATCCGGGGCCTGAGGGGAGGGGACACGATGGTCAGGTGGGCTGGATTGATAAAAAGAGGGAGGAGGGGAGGAGGGACCAGTAAAGGGACGTGAAGAGGGTGGGACAAGCAGCGACAGCAACGGCGTGAGAAGAGTTAAATTTCTTAGCAAGGGAAAAAAAAAATGGTGAGACGGCGCTTGGACTTGACAAGTGTAGTCGTGTAATTAAAAAATGTCGTGTAGACTTATTGGTGTCAAAGACTAGAGCGGCGTGATTCATATCTGTTGGCCGTCACGATGGCCTGGCCTTGCCAAGTGCTCAGGGGCTCAACGTCACAGACCGGGAAGGCCCACAGCGCCCACAGCAGCCCGCCAGGCACCAAAAGCCACTTGAAGCCACTAAAACTGCATGCCAGTGAAACCTTGCTAGATCGGCCCGCTCCAGGCACAATCGCTGAGCAAAAGCTGACCTAAGCCATTTTTTAGGCTGATAAGGTAGGTACAGAACAGGGCGCGCGTCTCGCTTGCAGATGCGGCAACCTCGCACGCCTGATGACCCAAGTTTTTTGTCTTGATGTTTCGAGTAGTCTGGCAGAGACCTGCATCTTGCTGAGACCCCACGCGGGTCCAATAATATCTACTCTGCATAATGGTGCAGGCGCAACCCGGGATCGTTTACGGAGAAGAGAACTCGCTATGTAGACTCCATACCAGCAAAGCGATGCGCCATCAAGCCACCATTAACAACACATCGCCAAGAAGCTCCCCATCCCCGTTAGTACGCCGTCCAATCAGCCTGTCAGCTTCCATTCCGCGGCAGAATTAATGCCCAAGCTTTTTCTGCCGCTCGCAGCTTTTCCGCAAGGTTTGCGTCCTGCCGTCGTTTGCCGCCGGTCGTGTAGCTGTTGCCAAGTTGCACTACCTTGGCTCAACAACTCGGCTAGAATGCGAGCTCGCAGGTTGGTAAAAAGACCTAGATCAATCTTTGTGCGGTTGATTATGAACGCGATTGCCTCTCTCGGCTTGGCAGTGAGGTCATTAAGTTGATCCAGAAAAAAAGGTCGCAATCTTTTCAAGTCGAAGAGATGTACATCTTCAAGGCATGCCAAATTCGTGACAAAGAAACATGATTGCTTTGAGGACTCAATTAGTGCGCTGCCTCGAGGAGACTCGTGAGAACATCTACATACTCAGTAAGCTGCAGGGCGCAATGAACTCTGCCGGTAGTATTGGCGCTCCGCAACAGAGAGCAAGACACACACCATATATGAATCCCCCAATCAGTCCGGTGGCTTCATTCGTTTTAGTCTCTCGTAGTATTGATAATCGGATCTCAATGGCCGCCTGTTTTGTTCCGCGCGTGCTGTCTAGATATCTTGATAATCCATGTACTGAGTCAAGGGCAGGCCACCGAAGACATGATGTTCTTTGGTCGGACAAAACACGATGCAAAGTGCTAGTTACATCAACGCGGCACTTGCCAGTCGACATCCCGCACAGTTGAATGCGCATGCTAACTAAACCGCCTTACTCGACTACGCTGAAATAATCAAAGATGGCGGTTGGGCATCTCTTCTCTAGAATTTCAGAATTGTAACCTAGTATATATGAGGTTACTCTTACGCAGCATCTACAACGATGCGTGGCCGACGACGAATAAAAAGGCTTTCGAGCAACTAGGTCTTTGCTCGGCTGTTCAGCCGTGCAGGCTACACTGGGTGATATAGGCGTTGCGCTGTGATTATAAAGAATCGTTCTCCTGGCTGCCGTGCCGTCTCTTGCCGATCTGGTGCGCCTTTCGTGCAAGTCAATCACGCCAGGAATTAGTCTCCATGTTGCAATAATACTATAGTGAAATATCCATTACTCCCATACGACCGAATATACCTGGGTACTGATTCCATAACGCCGCGTAAACATTTCCATCAAGCCGTTCCCATCCAGTCATCCGCTGGACATAATCACGCCCAGTCTTGCTAGCAGCTACGCCCGGTACTCAATCACAAAGCGTCGTTCGACCTGCTGCAGAGTCGTCGAGTCATTTTCCCCTTCGAATTTGAGATTCACCTTGCCAGCGCCATCCATGCTGTGCACCTCCGCCTTATAAAACGTCGTCGTGTTAGGATACAGGGCCAACACAACCTGGCCCTTCTTCCAATCCTCAAGCGTGCTGGCCTGGCTCTCTGGTGTAATCGCAATCATGTTGCTCGCGCTCGTCCTATACTCCTTTTGCTTGCTGTGGTCGTCGGGCTCAATGTCGAGAACCTTGTACCGGCGGTTCTTACCGTCACCAATAACTTGCGCAACCTCGCCCATGATCCAGTCTGCCATGCCCTCCGTTGCGCCAGCCTTGGACTTGAAGGCCACGGCGTCACCCTTGGAAAAGATGAGTTTAGACTTGTTTCCTGAACCGGGTGGCTCCACACTCTCTGCTTTGGGTGGTATGCTATCTCGATCTCGATCTCGTTCGCGGTCGCGGTCCTTATTCCTCTCGCTGTGTTTTCTCGAGCCTCCAATGGGGCTGGGGACGGGTGAGTCGCCTGCTGCATCAAAGTCGTACAGGGACGAGCTGGGCGCGCTGTCTCTGGCAGCTCTCTTTCCCGGTCCCGCCGTTGCAGCCTCTGCCTGCTCCTTGGCGACGACTACGGCGCGCAAGATCTTAAGCTGCTCTGTCACGTTCTTGAGGGCTGCAATATTGGCCTCGGAGAATTTCACTCCAGACCGACAGAGATTCTCCATCTTCTTAAGAGACTCATTTGGAATCTTGTTGGGGTCCATGGCGCCCACCTGCTTGTCCATGCCAACAAGCTCCTTCAGGCTGTCATTCTCGCCATTGATGCCGTTAACAATTTCGGCCAACTGGCTCTTGCAAGAGTCCCATATCTGTGCTTCTTCGCCGTGTGAGCCGCCATTGTTACGGCTTGACCCGCGGCCGCTGCGGTTTCGTTGTGACATGTCGTTTCGTGTCCCCGGTAAAGGTTGTTGATAATATGGTCCTAGATTTTCTCTCAAGTGATTGATTTCGTTGTTGCCGCGCTGATTTCGCCTGTTAGCCATTACTATGAGTCCTCTGCAAACAGAGGCTTTCCTAGCGACGATAAATGGGAGAGAGAAAAAAATAAAGTTCCGAACGGTACCAAGTAAAGCTTGCTGGTATTTGAAGCAAAAGCAGAAAAGACGCCGATAATGGTATGCCTGTCCCACGCGACACGCAAACAACCTCAAACGTGCGAAAATAGATTTGATTCCGATCGGTCTCGACTTACATTGAAGGCACCTGCCAAATTAGTTGAAATTTGTCGAGCGGGCAGCGCGTGTCGAGGGCTTCGTTTCTGCGACGGGTGCCTGCTTGTAACGCACGCGTTACTCTGCAACGAAGCGACAAGTGCGACTCGCGGGCGCGGGCAGCAGTTTCTCGAACGCAAAGGAACGAGAGCTAGTCCAGGCGACGTCTCCTGATGGCCAGAGAGACTCGACGGACGAGTTTGTCGCGTAGAGAGTGGTGCGGGAGCGACAAGAGCGTGGGCGCAGGCGCAGTTGGCGGAGGGGGACCTGGGCTTTAATACAAGTCACTTTTCGATGGAGAACTTTGGCGGGAGCTTGTGGGCGCAGGGAGACTTGTCAATAAGGTTTGGCTGGCAAAGGGATTGGTGTACTGGAATGGCTGCTCGCTTTGCCTGAGGGTGTGTGTGGGTTGGTTGTCGGCTCCTTGCGCGCGCCCACCACTGACGTAATAAGACGACTGCCAACCCTCACGAGAGGCGGGTGGAGATTAACACGGGACATGTCTTTTATTAGAATGCATTTAATACCGGATATTTGAATGTTGAACGCCATTAGATCAAGCCTCTCTTCGACTCAGAACCGGGATCGAAATTATTTGCTTGTTCCCATTGCACTTTGGGTGCATAGTTGCCCGGCAGTGAATCAACCGCCTGCAATACACTAGCAAACACTACAAATAAGGTCCCCAAGAGTCACTCAGGCAAGACCGAACCAACTCAAAAAATTGTTGATTGTTGCAAAAGATGAGCTATGGATGGATAGTGAAAAGTTTATCGTGCGCCACCTCATCATTTACAGGCAAGCAGGGATCCAAAACGAAGAAGAAGAGGCGGACGATAGGCGGGAGCGCAGCAACAATCACGAAAGAATGGATATGGCAGACTGGCTCTGAATGACATTCTTCTCTAGAGATGAATATCAGATGACTTTGAACCGGCATCTCTTTTTCTCTCGTGGGGTAATTGAGCATTACTTGCATACGGCGATGCGTGTCTGAGCATGCTTGGCATTTGCTACCTTGGCGTCCTTGCTGTCGGCGTCAATCTCGTGGTGGGACTGGGGCCAGCCTCCAGCTTTACTTGAACCTCAATCATTTCGTCCTTGTTGCCCAAGTACGGATACTTGTGAACAAAGCAGGTGGGAGTGTCGCTGCTGTCATTTCCCGTGCGAGTTTACACTTTTGAATCATGTGAGTCAGGCCTTGCTTGCGTTGACACTATCATCGCCTGTACGGGCGTCTAGCGTCGCCTGTTTGGCCTTGCACTTTGCGTCGTACTTTTCCAGCAGCTGCAGTGAGTCACTGTCCAGCGCCGCCCTCGACTCGCCCTGCAGGACCTGCGCAGCAAAATCAATGGCCTCGTTGTAGCGCCGGAAAAAGTGAGCTCCTCGACGGCGTGCAGCACCTCCTGGATGTCCAAGTTGCTGGCGCCACTCTGCAGGGGCAGCTTGATATGTTTGTAAATCTAACAAGATCGTTAGTCACGGCCGCTCTCAAAAAAAAAAAAAAAAAAAAGAGAGAGAGAGAGAGAGAGAGAAAGAAA